AATCCCTAAGCGCGGCCGAAGGCCGCCTACGCAGAAAGAAGTTCTGCACAAAAATACTTCCGGACACATTTACCGGCAACACAGAGAGGAGAATTCTACTTAGCAAGGGATATAATCCCTAAGCGCGGCCGAAGGCCGCCTACGCAGAGAGAAGTTCTGCGCAAAAATACTTCCGCCCTTCTTTTCCGGCAACACAGAAAGGAGAATTCTACTTAGTAAGGGTTATAATCCCTAAGCGCGGCCAAAGGCCGCCTACGCAGAAAGAAGTTCTGCGCAAAAATACTTCCGGCCCCCTTTTCCGGCAACACAGAAAGGAGAATTCTACTTAGTAAGGGTTATAATCCCTAAGCGCGGCCGAAGGCCGCCTACTCAGAAAGAAGTTCGTTTTCATGTATGCACTATTTCGGTTTTTGTCATATGCATTACTTCGGTTTTGAGTCGAAACTGTGCATGTATGCATTACTTCGGTTTTTGTCATATGCATTATTTCGGTTTTGAACCGAAACTGTGCATGTATGCATTACTTCGTTTTTCTCATATGCGTTATTTCGGTTTTCAAACGAAAGTGTGCATGTATGCATTATTTCGGGTTTTTCATATGCATTATTTCGGTTTTTTTCATATGCATTATTTCGGTTTTCAAACGAAAGAGTGCATATGCATAATTTCGGTTTTTCTAATATGCATTATTGCGGTTTTCAACCGAAACTGTGCATATATGCATTATTTCGGTTTTTTTCATATGCATTATTTCGGTTTTCAACCGAAACTGTGCATATATGCATTATTTCGGTTTTTTTCGTATGCATTATTTCTGTTTTTTTCATATGCATTATTTCGTATGCACAGTTTCCATATGCACAATTTCAGGGTGCCAGGTGAAGAAACAAGTGATAACGATGAAGACAAAAAAAAGGCAAAAGTGAAGATAAAGGCGAAAATTGAGATAAAGGCGAAAATGGAGGCAATGAGAAATACATAAGAATTAGGTTAACAGAGTTGAAGTTTTCCGATAGGAATCGAAATAAAATCAGCCATAAAGGTTACTGAAATTTATCGAATCATTGAAGTTTATAATTACCGAAATTT